AAAAAAAAAAAAAAAAAAAAAGAATATAAAGTTTATTGCAATGTGTGTTTGAATATTGTGGACATTGAACATAATACATTATTCCTAAATAGTTTGATTTTAATACATTACTCCTAAATACTTTGATTTTACTAAAATCACTTAATATCTTCAAGAGAGAATAACATAATTTAAAGTCCCATGTTTCTCCTCAGAAAATAAGGATGGAAGCACATGCCAAGTTTGCAGTCCTTTGGCATCTAACAAGAGATCTCCACATAAATAAATCATCTTTTGCACGTTCTTTTGACAGGTCAGTTACATTTTATATTAAGATTTCACAGTCAGATATCTTAATGTTGTCTCTTTCCTTGAGTCTACTGTCTAGCTTGGCACGTGTAGGAGATAGCAATTTATAACTTTTATAAAGAAAACTTATTATTTTGAAAACTGTAAGCTGTATTAAAATGCATGGTATTTTTACTCACCAGATTTTTACTTCTTGGTTTTATATTACCCAGCTCCCCTTCCCTTCCTTGGACAGCTATTCATCATGTTCCTACTACGTGTCAGGCACCATTCTAGGTGCCAATGATAAAGCAATGGATACAGCTTTCTTGAGTCTATATTCATGTTTAGTGAAATTGCATATAAATAATAGATTGTGTGTTTCTCAAACAATTGTTTTCAAGCTTCTGCCTAAATTAGATTTATTAAAATCTATAGCTGAAAACACTAACAGATTCTTTCCATGAATCCAGAGAACTTGTAGCTGCCTAAGAGTGGTTTTGGTTTTTTTCTGGACTACATAGGTGACTTCAAATACCAGATCTACATTAAATTCCAAGCTGCCATTTATAGGTGAATTCACATATTGTCATAAGATAGTCTCACCAGCCGGTCTCATAGTGGTGGCCATGAGTCTGTGTTCGAGCTCAGTCAGATCAGTTGTGTGCTCTACTGAACATAATTTCAGCTGGTGCTTTTCAATGAACATTACCATTTTTAAGTGATCTGATATTGAACCACTACAATGTATCAAATATATTGAACATTTACTTTGTAAATAATCATCTCTAATTTGACAACTATCTTTCCTAATTTTAGAAGTAAGGGAATAGAGGTCAGGAAAAGTTGTTACTTGCATACAAAAGATTTGAATCTTGCTTTTCTGATTCCAAACCACATGTTCATACCTTTCACAGAAGATCTTTACTTGAATTAAGCGTATAGCTTTGACTCACAAAGAGAGTGTGAGCAGAGGAACATGGACCAACATGGAGTAATGTTGACTTGCAGAAGGCTCAGTTTCTGTTGCTGAAGCAAGACAAATTATATTTTTTTCTATTCTTCAGTACTAATCTTATAAAAGTAATGTATGCTTGTGAAATTTCAAAGCATAAGTATATTTTTAAAAGAGCAAAAAGTTTTTCCTTTCTTATATCTACTGAGAATGTTGGGATTAAGGTTATTAAAATGCTATGATTTATGCTGAAGCATAAATTTATGTAAAATTTATGTTGAAGTATGACTACTTCAAAATAGGAAACACAATTTATTTTAGAAAAGAGTGTGACAGTTAAGGTAGATGTTTGGTTCTTTGTTTTAATTATTTGTGTTTATTTTAGGTCACTGTTCATCATGTTAGATAGCCTTAACAGTCTTGATGGTTCTACTAGCTCTGTGGGACAAGCCTGGCTGAACCAAGTCCTACAAAGACATGATATTGCACGAGTTTTGGAACCATTGCTATTGCTCCTGCTTCATCCAAAAACTCAAAGAGTTTCAGTACAGCGCGTACAAGCAGAACGTTACTGGAATAAGGCTCCCTGTTATCCAGGAGAAGAGAGTGACAAGCATTTCATGCAAAATTTTGCCTGCAGCAATGGTGAATATCACATAGAAGTAGACAGCTTTATTTAGAATTATTAAAATAAAGTGATAAGTGAATACAACTGTAATTGGCAGAAGAATTGCATGTGAGATTTTCTCCATGGGCCTATTTTCTCCCTCCTCATATACTAGCAATGCCATGTGGACCATGTCAGAATATACTTCATCACTGACCATCTTAGAGGATGTGGATCTCTCAGTTGACTCAGGGTAGGAATCAGGCACAGCTCTGGTTAGAGGCATTCAGTTTTGATGGAAATACCTTTAGAGCTTAGTTAGTAATTCTGGTCCTACAAGGCTCTGTAGATACTTTGCTGGGAATTTATAGTAAACCTGTAATACACATTTTGCATTTCATCAGTCATTTTCCTCATCTTTCAAGAGAATAATAATGCCCAACTTTCAAGGTTTTATTACGACCATCAGATATAGTCATATTTGTGACATGCCCAAATATTCACTATTCCAACATTACTACAGAGTCCACACTTTATAAACTGTTGAGTGATGCCTTCTATACAGTGATAATGTCCCCTTGAATTAATTTATTTAAGGGACAAAAGACTCTCATCTATGTCATTTGTCTCTTGATGGATAACCCTGTGGGGTCAGTATTGAAAAGATGATTTTAGTAAGCAGGTCGTTGATGCCTAGAAGGCCATGGCTTTCTCAGAGTTCCATGGCTGGTAAGTGATGAAGCTGAAACCAAACTGTCATATACCTACTTCATCTCTAGTGTGTTCCTACAGAGGCTTGATTCCTCTCTCTGACTTCTTTTCCACTGCCTCTTCTGAGTCTTCAAAGAATTTGCATTACCCTGCATATTGCCAAAACATCATTGTGTTAATGCTTTATCTGACTGTGCTGAATTCTCACCTCCTCCCTGAGATCAGCACCAGACCTCATCAATGGTATTATGATTCTTTCCCTAAATTTGCTAGCATTTGCTGTGTAACACTTTGTATGGCACTAAGCCTTTCACCTTTTCTAAAAGAATGTCGTCATCATTGTATGCCCTCTAAAAAATACAGAAATGAATTATGTATTTGTGGTTTGCTGCTAATTTTAAACTCTTCAGAGAGTTTAGAAACAGCATAACTAAAATGAGATATTACACAGGAAGGAAAAATAAAATTTTTACCTGCAATAAAATGTAATTTTAATAGGAAAATATAAGTAGATGCTGACACTAATGATTAAAAATCTTGGTCAGTCTACATTTCTGCATTTCAAATATTTTAATGCATTTTGTATTTTTCTTCTTTTACTGTTTATCAGTGAGCCAAGTACAACTCATCACATTAAAAGGAAATGGAGAAAAGCCACTTACCATGGATGAAATAGAGAACTTTAGTCTCACCGTTAATCCATTAAGCGACAGACTTTCCCTCCTAAGTACAAGCAGTGAGACAATTCCAATGGTTGTGTCTGATTTTGATCTTCCAGACCAACAGATAGAAATACTTCAGAGTTCTGACTCAGGGTGTTCACAGTCCTCTGCTGGGGACAACTTGAGTTATGAAGTTGATTCTGAAACTGTGAATGCCCAAGAGGATTCCCAGATGCCAAAGGAAGGCTCCCCAGATGATGATGTTCAGCAGGTAGTGTTTGACCTGATATGTAAAGTTGTAAGTGGCCTTGAAGTGGAATCTGCATCAGTTACATCTCAATTAGAAATTGAAGCTATGCCCCCAAAGTGCAGTGGTGCAGATCCAGGTGAAGAGATGATTAAAATTGAAGATGACTCCAATCAACAGAGTCAGAATGCTTTGCTAAGTAATGAAAGTTGTCAATTTCTGTCTGTGTCTGCAGAGGGAGGCCATGAGTGTGTGGCAAATGGAATCTCCAGGAATAGCTCCTCACCTTGTATTTCAGGAACCGCACACACTCTTCATGATGGTTCTGTTGCTTCCATAGAAACCAAATCTAGACAGAGGAGTCACAGTAGTATTCAATTCAGCTTCAAAGAAAAATTATCAGAAAAAGTTTCAGAGAAGGAAACAATAGTTAAGGAGTCAGGTAAACAACCAGGAGCAAAACCTAAAGTAAAACTTGCCAGAAAAAAGGATGATGACAAGAAAAAATCTTCAAATGAAAAACTCAAACAAACCAGTGTATTCTTCAGTGATGGTCTGGATTTAGAGAACTGGTATAGCTGTGGAGAGGGAGACATTTCTGAAATTGAGAGTGACATGGGTTCTCCAGGATCTCGGAAATCTCCCATTTTCAACATTCATCCCCTCTATCAACATGTGCTCCTGTACCTCCAGTTGTATGATTCATCCAGGACTTTGTATGCTTTCTCTGCCATCAAAGCCATCTTGAAAACTAACCCTATAGCTTTTGTAAATGCCATTTCAACTACTAGTGTAAATAACGCATATACTCCTCAGTTGTCTCTCCTTCAGAATCTATTGGCTAGACACCGGATTTCTGTTATGGGCAAAGATTTTTATAGTCACATTCCAGTGGACTCAAATCATAATTTCCGGAGTTCTATGTACATAGAAATTCTTATTTCCCTCTGCTTATATTACATGCGTAGCCATTACCCAACTCATGTCAAGGTTACTCCACAAGATCTGATAGGCAATCGAAACATGCAGATGATGAGCATAGAAATTCTGACACTACTCTTTACTGAACTGGCAAAAGTAATAGAAAGTTCAGCAAAGGGTTTCCCTAGTTTTATTTCTGATATGTTATCTAAGTGCAAAGTTCAGAAAGTGATTCTTCATTGTTTGCTGTCATCTATCTTTAGTGCTCAGAAATGGCATAGTGAAAAAATGGCAGGTAAGAACATGGTTGCTGTGGAAGAAGGTTTCTCAGAGGATAGCCTTATTAATTTCTCAGAGGATGAAATTGATAATGGCAGCACGTTACAGTCACAACTTCTTAAGGTGCTTCAGAGACTGATTGTTCTAGAACACAGAGTAATGACTATTCCTGAAGAGAATGAAACAGGTTTTGATTTTGTTGTATCTGACTTGGAACACATTAGTCCCCATCAGCCCATGACTTCTCTTCAGTATTTGCATGCTCAGCCAATCACGTGTCAAGGCATGTTCCTCTGTGCGGTAATACGAGCTTTGCATCAACACTGTGCATGTAAGATGCACCCACAATGGATTGGTTTAATCACATCTACTCTGCCTTACATGGGAAAAGTTCTACAGAGAGTGGTTGTTTCTGTGACACTACAACTGTGCAGAAATCTAGATAATCTAATTCAGCAGTACAAATACGAAACAGGATTATCTGATAGTAGGTAAGAGGTGTTTTTTAACTTTATTGTTATTGACATTTTTCACATATGACTACTTAATGTCTGGAAAGTAGGTCACAACTTGAGTAAACTAGTGGTTTTCGGTAGGTTACAAATAGTATGTTATGTTCTACAAAAAAAGAAAATTTGGCTTGAGGAAGAGTATCAATAAAAGAATCTAGAATGGAAAGGGAAGAAAAATTTAAACAGACCTATTTTCTCCCAAGGTCTGAAATTAATTTTAATGCACTTCTTGCCTGAGCTGGCAAAACTAATAGGAATCTTAGGAAAAGGTTTCCCAGGTTTTATATTTTATCTAAGTGCAAATATATTTAAGACTGAAAATAATTTAAATTTACAAATCTTTTCCATGTAATTTTATTTCTTGTTTTAGATTTTCATGGTTTTGATCTGAGTCCCCATGCTCAAAGTCTGAAAAATTAGTTCAAGTAGACTGATGTCTTATTTTTCTTTAGAGTAACCTCAGTTTCTACATGTAAAATAATAAGAAAACTGCCTGTATTGTTTAATGTTAATATGCCTCCCATTTCCCAAAGCTAGAGATTCACTGGCCATTATTTGTTTATTTTGTGTAGAGTTCTGTAGCCAAAAGAACTCTAGTACATTTAGTCCAACTCACTTATTTTATAGATGCGGTAGTAAAAGCCTCTGATCTATTCTTTTAGCCATTTATTAATCTAGTATTTATTGCACATTTACTGTGTGCCTGACACATTGTATTTACTAGTGATAAAATTGAACTATGCTATCATAAAACTTGGATTTAAGTGAATGAACTTTATTTCAGGCCTCTGTGGATGGCATCAATTATTCCACCAGATATGATTCTTACTCTTTTGGAAGGGATTACAGCCATTATTCATTACTGTTTGTTGGATCCAACTACACAATATCACCAAGTAAGATTGTACATATATTTGAATCCTTTTGAAAGACTATGAGGTCTAATGAATTTCCATTTGTAAATCTAAGTAAGTAATAATATATTTCTTTTCCTCCACTGTTAATAGCTTTTGGTCAATGTAGACCAGAAACACTTGTTTGAAGCACGCAGTGGAATCCTCTCAATCCTTCATATGATCATGTCCTCTGTGACATTGCTTTGGAGCATACTGCATCAAGCTGATTCTTCAGAAAAGATGACTATTGCTGCATCTGCATCTGTTACCACTATTAATCTTGGAGCTACAAAGGTTAGACAATTAATATTTAATCTATAGAGCTCAAGAGTCTGTTTGAGAACCTTTCCAAAGATTATATTCAGAATATATGAATAATTTGTGTAGTATTTATAGGAACCTGCATAGATGAAGTAATTATCAAATAATTTTTGACATTTTTCTTAGGCTATGGATGACATATCACAGAATTAGCCCATTAAGTATATAATTCGTTAATTTTTTAAAGTAAATTTACAGAGTTGTGAACTCTGTAAATTTTTGAATACGTATTTTACCACAAAGATTCTTTGTGGCCGTTTCCACTTCCTCTTCCCATTCCTAATCCCAATCAACCACTAATCTGTTTTCTCCATATATTGATTTGCTCTTTCTGAAAAAGTTCATATAAATGGAATGATAACAATATTTGGTCTTTTGTGTCTAGCTTCTTTCAGGTGATTTAGGGTTTATTCATACTTTGTTCCTTTTTTTTTAGGACATTTTAAGTTGACATTTTAATATGCAAAGCCCTCCTGGAAAACAATTTAGCAATCTGTACAGAGAGCTTTAAAGGGTTCATAGTCTTTGACCTAGTAATCTGCTTTAGGAATGAATTCTAAGGTAATCGAAATTATGCAAAGATATATATACAAAGTGTTCGTTAAAGTATTATTTAATGGCAGAAGAAGAGAGTTCCTAAACAAGAAATTAAGGAATTTTTAAGTCATCCTTTTGGTGTTTCATTAAACAGGCAATAATAATCATGGTTTTGAAGAATTCTTATTGGATGGAGAAGGGCTCAAAAGCTTAGTGAAACAGGGATGTTACAAAATTGAACAAATAGCATATTTTCAATTATGTAAAAAGTAAATCTGCAGAAAAAGGAATAAAGAAAGTTTATATTTTATCAGTAATTATCTCAGGATGATAGGATTAATTATTTTTAAATTTTTTTCTCTTCCTTGCACTCTCATGTTTTCCAAATGCTGTGCCATGTCGAGTTGTCAAACTGACATCCTTCAGTAGCCTAATTTTACTCCTAAACCAGACCACCTGGATCAAGGATCCATGGGAACGCATACGGGATTGGGAGAAGGATAAGGATGGGAACCATTAGAACATTTAATCTAAGTTTTGATGCTTGGATTAAACTATACTTTTTAGGTTTTGTTTTACTTAAATAAAACATAAGGTATTGTATAATTATAGAATGCCTCACCTTTTTTTAAAGTACTCTATATCAAACTTAGTCGAATTTCATATATTGTGTTTTTCTAGTATCTTTTCACAGTGAATAGACTTGTATTTGGCAGATTCGTAGCTGTCATTTTATAGGATTTGTTTTTCTTTTAGAATTATAGTCATGGTGTAGCTCTTAATGTTATTAAAGTTTCCTCTCATGTTATTTAGGTAGTAAAATCTATAAGAACTATATTATTTCAAAGAAACTAAAAATGCAGTCTAGTTGTGAATGTTTTCATTGTTTTAAATTTCACTTTAATTTGCTTCAAATTGTTTTAGAACTTGAGACAACAGATTCTTGAATTGTTGGGCCCCATTTCAATGAATCATGGTGTTCATTTTATGGCTGCCATTGCATTTGTGTGGAATGAAAGAAGACAGAATAAAACAACCACCAGGACTAAGGTATGCATTTAGACATTTGGCGCTTTTTGTTTTTGCATTTGATGAGTACATGCTAATTTTCACCTCTCCATACATTGCAGTGGGGCTGGGGTAGATTGGAGTCTAAAGCAAAAGTTTTTTAACAGGGTTAGATAAATTATTGCCTTAATTTGTTTAAGTATTGATTAAAATTTGAGGTCAAGACCGTGCACAGTGGCTCACGCCTGTAATCCCAGCACTTTGGGAGGCCGAGGTGGACAGATCATGAGACCAGGAGTTTGAGACCAGCCTGGCCAACATAATGAAACCCCGTCTCTACTAAAAATACAAAAATTAGCCGGGCATGGTGGCATGCACCTGTAGCTACTCGAGAGGGTGAGGCAGGAGAAGCACTTCAACCTGGGAGGCAGAGGTTGTGGTGAGCTGAGATTGCGCCACTGCATTGCAGTCTGGGTAACAGAGTGAGATTCCATCTCAAAAAATAAATAAATAAATAAAAATAAAATTTGAGGTCAAATATAAAAGATGTTATGTGGCAAAAAAATTTAGTATGATGCTAAAACTAAGTAGAAATGGTAATATGGTACAGTATGTTTTTAAAGTGCTAGTCATTTAGGGTACAAAGCAAGGATATAGAGAAAAGTTTTCATCTTGACTATGATTTTTTATTATGTGATAGTTCAAATAGTTCATGTTTCTGAATATAATTCACAGTTTTTGTTTTTGTTTTTGTTTTTGTTTTTTACTTTTTTGGTAGAGATGAGGTCTCACTTTGCTATTGGTCTTATATATGTGAATTTTGTTGCTTTGAGTTTTGAAGCTCAAGAGAAATGCTCTATATTGGAAATAAATAATGGCACATTAGAGTAGTAAGGCTATTATATAACTTAGATTTATTTTAAAAATATGATTTTTCCACCTAAATTATATAACTTACATTTATTTAAAATTTGTTTTGATTTCACATTACATTTCTAAAGTAATCAAAATAAATATTCACACCCTATTACATTATTTTGCATGTGAAGATTCAGTAGTAGGTATCACTCACGTTGAAAATTAAAATCCTGGACTACTTAAAAGCAGTTAAGGACATGTGATTTAACATGGCATGTTGAAGCCAGGCATAGTGGCTCACAGCTCCCAGCACTTTGGGAGGCCAAGGTGGGAGGATTGCTTGAGGCCTGGAATTCAAGACCTCATGAGACCCTGTCTCTACAAAAATTTTTTTAAAAAATTAGCCAAGTGTGGTGGCATGTGCCTGTAGACCTAGCTACTCAGGAGGCTGAGGCAGAAGGATTATCAGGTATATTATAGCTGATAACATATAATTCACATAGAGCAATGCCTGGTACTGTACTTAATAATCACTCACAAATATTAGCTGTAATATTATTCCTCATATTTAAATAGAAATGGGGAGCCAAGGATTACCAGTCACATGAATAAAATCTCTAATGTGATAGACAAAGACTGAAACATCTAGATTTTAAAAAGTCAATGCAGATAACAGAAAAAAATGTAAATAATAATAATGTCCTTCAGTGTGTGAGACCGTGCAGTAGAAAGGGAGATTATAGGAAAGACCATTCCAAAAATTAAAATTTTTCATGGAGATTAAAAATTCTACAGCAGAAACAAAGCAATGTTTGTAGGAAGGTTGGAACAGAAAGTGGATACATACCAAAAGTAGAATATAAATTTAAAGATATGGAAAATAGGAGAAAGAGGTAAGAATATTAGGGGAGACCCAGTATCTTTCTGCAGAATTTAAAACAAGAGGCAAAAAATACAAAGAAACAATACAATAAAATTCCTTAGGAATGAAGTAAATATGTTTCCAGATTGCCTAGCGCTGTGAAAAGTGATGTGTGCAAAGATTAGCATGTTATTTCAGAGCACTGGCGATGAAGAGATGCTAAAATCTAAAGAAAGAATACTGGTCACACTCAAAAGAATGAAGATGAGATTTGTTAACAGCAACACTGGGAATATTGATTGGAAGCCAGTTTCAACCCATAATTCCGTCTCCAGCCAAACTGTCACGCAAAACATTTTCAGCTATGCAATGTCTCAACAACAGCAACCCAGAAAATTGCCATCAGTTCACTTTTTCTCAGCTACTGGAAGATGTAACTCCACCAGAGGAGGAATAAACCAAGAATTAAGAAGACAGGGGATCCAAAAAACAGGGGTTCCCACACAGAAGAGAGAGCAAGGGTAATCTCTGGGATAATGGTAACAGGAAAGATATCAAGGTGACACTCTGTAGCAAACCTAGAGAGTAGCAACCCAGGGTAGAATAAAAAGACATCTAACAGAAATGTCTCCAGGAATAAAAAGAGAAGAGAGGAAAGAAATGATACATGATTAATTACCTGAAGTATTTGAATATGTAATTAGAGATTTATAGTTGAAGCATTTAGGGATGAATTTTTGATAGGTACTGAGAAAATGAAGCAAACAAAAAAAGCAATTTATTAGCTCTAGGAAAAACAAAAAGTTGTGCCATAAAACCAATGCTAGTACAATACACAGTGCAGCCACACATAATCATGTGAACACTGGATATGGATTTAAATAAAAATATCATATAACAATGTTGGGAGGATAGGTAGAAAAGTGTAAGAGAGCTACATCTTTGTCTTCTAAAATAAGTGATGAATAGATAATATCTAAAATTGAAAATAAAATCAGGAAATAGGAAAAATGGCAGTGTATGTAATTAGACAAAATGGAAAAGAACTTAAAGAGTTGAGCATGGTTACTTAGGGGCGTGGTAAGGGATATGGGAAAACAGTGTTTTTTCTTACAAAGCTCATTGTTCTGTTTTAGTTTTTTGAGAGGATGTACATGTATTGATTAGAAAAAAAAATTGAGCCTGGGCAACTTAGGGAGACTCTGTCTTCACAAATAATTAAAAATTAGTTGGGCATGGTGGCATGCCTGTGGTTTCAGCTACTCAGGAGGCTGAAGCAGGAGGATCACTTAAACCCAAGAGGTTGAGGCTGCAGTAAACTGTAATTGAGCCACTGCACTCCAGACTTGATGACAGCAAGACCCTGTCTCAAAAATATATGTATATATATCTAAATAAAAGTAAAATTTGCCTAAAGCAGCCAAGGGACTTGAAGAGGTCTTTATATTAAATAGAGGCCAGGACTGGGTGCAGTGGCCGATGCCTGTAATCCTAGCACTTTGGGGTCAGCTATGGCAGGAGGATCACTCTGAGCGCAGGAGTTTAACACCAACTTGGGCAAAATAGCAAGACCTCATCTCTATTTTAAAAAATTTTTTAAAAGCCTGATGCGGGCCAAGATGGCCAAGAGAAGCCAGCACTGAAACACAGCTCCCAGCAAATGAGACACAGAGGGCTGGAGGACTTCACAGTTCCAAACAAGGTGCCGGGTTCTTTTCTGTGGGACAGATAGGGCTCTGAAAATAGGCCCAGGACAGGAGCTGCAGGGCAAGAGCCACCCAGGGGGGCAAATCAAGATGGGGTGGGCACATCCCTACCTGAAACATGCAGCCAGCTTGGAGGGTCGGAGGACTTAACCCCCTCAGTGTACCGTTTCAGGTCCTATGCTTGCCTCATCCCTCCTGCAGCCCACGGTCCAGAGGGGCCCTGCTAGATGGTGGGGCGCCATGGGTAATTGATGCAAATCTGAGCAGCTGCTACCATTGGGCTTGGCAAGTTGTCACAGGGACCTGGGCAGGAGTTCGGAGTAATGCCAGCGGGATGGACCATCCCACAGAGGGAGGCAGAGTTGAAAGCAGGGAAATAGGCCATAAGGCCGGCAGGCCTCACCCCCACAGAACTCAAACTGAAACCCTCGCTAGAGAGGTTGGCAGCAAATAGACCAGCTTGACCCCAACCATGAAGATTGAGCTCTGGGAGAGACACCATTGGGAAGGTGGTGCCAATCTCACCTGCAAACAAGCTCCAGGGAAGGACCACCCACCCGACAACCTGACTGAACCCGAGGGAGCCCAGCAATGTCCTCCACAGGCCAAAAAATATACAGCACCAACCTCAATAGAAGTCTGCTTAGAGACTTCTTCAGAAATCACCCACTTCAAAGATTAAAGGGAGATAAATCCACGAAGGTGGGAAAAAACCAGCACAAAAAGGATGAAACCACCAAAGAACAGAACACCTCTTCTCTCAGGGATCACAACTCCTCACCATCAAGGGAACAAAAAAAGAGAATGAATCTGATGAATTGACAGATGCAGGCTTCAGAAGGTGGGTAATAACAAACTTCTCTGAGTTAAACAACCATGTTCTAACCCAATGCAAAGAAACTAAGAACGTTGAAAAAAGGTTAGATGAAATGCTAACTAGAATAACCAGCTTAGAGAAGAACGTAAATGACTTGATGGAGCTGAAAAACACAGCACGAGAACTACGCTAGGCATACACAAGTTTCAACAGCAAAATCAATCAAGCAGAGACAGAAAATCAAATCAATGAAATAAAATGAGAAGGCAAGATTAGAGAAAAAAGGGTGAAAAGAAATGAACAAAGCCTCCAAGAACTGTGGGATTATGTGAAAAACCCTAATCTACGCTTGATCGGCACACCTGAATGTGATGGAGAGAATGAATCCAAGTTGGAAAACACTCTTCAAGATATTATCCAAGAGAACTTTCCCAACCTAACAAGGCAGGCCAACATTCAAATCCAGGA